AAGTGTTTATTTGAACTCACTCTGTTTTCCTGGTGTGGGTATTTACTGCTATAAATTTCCATCACAGGACTGCTTTTATTGTGTTCCATGAGTTCTGGTATGTTGTATTGGCATTATTTAATTGTAGAAACTGTTTAATTTGTTCTTTAATTTCACACATGATTTATTGTTTTTTCAGGAGACGTTACTTAATTTCCATGTGTTTACATAGTTCTGGTGATTTCTTTTGCCATTGATTTGCAATTTCTTTTTTTTTTTTTTTTGATTTGCAATCTCATTACACTATGGTCTTATAATATGCACAGGATAATTCCAATTCCTTTGCATTTACTTAAGCATGTTCTATGTGGTCCATTTTGGAACATCCTGTGTACAGCTGAGAAGAGTGTATATTCTGATGTTGTGGGGTGCAACACTCTGTAGACATCTACTAAGTCCATTTGTTCAAAAGTTTGGTTCTGTTCTAATATTTCATTTCTGATTTTTTGTCTAGTTGATCTGTGTATTTGTGATAGTGGGGTATTGCAGTCCCTGGTTACAATTGCTTTCATCTTTATTTGATTTTTCATGTCTGTTAATATTTGTTTTAACAGTTGGGTGTGCAGGCATTTGGTGCATATATATTTATGATTGTTATCTCTTCCTCTGGAGTTTTCCCTTAACAAGTTGTAGTGACCTTCTTTCACTCTCTTAATTAGGTTCAGCTTCAAATTCACTTTGTCTGCAAATAGAATAGCTACTTCCGCCTCTTTCTGGGTTCCTGTCACATGGAGTATTATTTTCCATCCTTTGACTTTCAGTCTATGAATTTCTTTTTGATTAAAGGTGTTTCTTGTATGCAGTATATTTTTGGATCTTGCTTCTTGACCCATTCTTCTACTCTATTTCTTTAGATTGATGAATTGAGGCCATTAACATTGATGGTTAGAACTGATATTTGAGTTATCCTTGTCATTGTATTTTCCTGTCGTTGGTTCCCTCTTTTCTTTCCCTCTCTGTTTGTGTTTGCCTTGCCTGGTGGATTCATTCTGTTGTAGTTCATGGAATTATAATCCTTGTTATCTGTCTTCAATGACCTTCAGAACATTTTGGAGTGCTGGTTTGGTATTCATGAATTTCCTCAAGTGTTCTTTGTCATGGAAGTATCTTATTTCTCCATCAATTTTGAAAGATAGTTTTGTGGCATACATCAATCTGAGTTGGAGGTTGTTTTCTTCTAGGACATGAAATACTTCACTGCATTCTCTCCTTGACTTGAGGGTTCATGTTGAGAAGTGTTTAGTGATTCTGATTGGTTTTTCTTTATAGGTGATTTGATGTTTTTGTCTAATAGCTTTTAATGTTTTGTTCTTATCACTTCTTGGCCTTTTGACTAAGATCAAGTATAGTATTTTGTTCTTGTATTGAATTTCTGGAATCTTAATTATTATATGCCTTGCTGCACTTTATCATGGCTAACTGGAGTTCTACATGCCTCCCTTACTGTATGTCAGTTCTTTTTACCTGCCAAGGAAGTTTTCTGCCACAACATCTTTGAACAGGATTTTTATTCCATTTGAGCTCTCACTCCTAATTTTTCATTGATGCCAATCAACCTTATGTTCTTCTTTGAATCACCTATCAGCTGTTGGATTAATTTCTCATTGTCCCCGGATATTTTTAAGAAATCTTTTTATGATTGTTAATCACATCTTATTTTCTACATCTGAGATTCTGTCCTCATATTGGCTCATTCTGCTGTGTATTCTTTCAGTAGAACTTTTAATCTCCTGTATATCTGTTTGAATCTGTTTTATGGATTCCATTTCTTTCCTATGTTGGGCATTCATGGTTTCTATCATTTTTCTAAGCTCCTATCATTATTTTTATTATTATTAGTCTTGAGACAGGATTTTGCTATGCCATTCAGGCTTGCCTCGAACTCACTTTGTAGCCCAGGCTGGCCTTGAACTTGCAGTGATCCTCCTGCCTCAGCCTCCTGAGTGCTGGGATTCCAGGTGTGTGCCACCATGCCCATTGCTGCTCCTCTATTTTTACCTATATTTACTCTTGAGTCACTAACCATGTCTTTCATTGTTATCACCATCTCTGTAGTTATCTCAGAGATTATTTCTGATTTGACTTTTCTGGAGCCTCCTTTATTTGTCTTATTATTTTCACTGTTCACCTTCAGAGAGTCCAGATGGGTGGCTTTTGAATTGTTCCACCTCCTTTTCCCTGGGTTTGCCTTTGATGAGCTGGAAGTTGGCTTACATCTTTTTAAAGCATCTCCTTGTTGTCTTATTTTTCTTTCTTTCTTTTTTTTTTAGTTTTGCTCCTGTGTTGTTGCTTGTAAATTGTCTATGCTAGTATTCAGAACACTTAAGAAATAACTATTATTGCTAGTATTCAGAACACTTAAGGGAAAACTATTTCTCAGGTGTCTTTCAGGTGTAGCTGGCTTTTGGGTTTTGAGTGTGTTGCAAGGTCCTATCTCTTCTATTTATTGGTGATGTGAAGTTGCTGCCTACTTTCCCCAGCCCCTGATTCTTTGGCACTGGACTATAATATTTTTTATGAATCTTAGGCAATCTCGGTCTTAGTATACCAGGAAGAACTACTCAATTATAGACAGTTGAGGACAATTATGTCAGCTTGGCTAAAATGGTACAATCAGCAATAACAGCAGCATCAAATAGCCTAGCAAATGACAAATTGAGGTAATTACTGATTTGCTACCTTTAACTGTTTGAACTAGATTTGTAGTTATATAATAAAATCTAAAAGGAACCAGAAAATTGTATGCAATAAATGAGCTATCTATATCACAATTTTACCCTCAGGGACAAAATTTAAAAGTGGTTAGGGAGAAATAAGAGAGAAATAGAAGAAAAGGAAGAGAAAAGAAGCAAGCATGGAAGACAAAGGAGGATAGTGCCAACTTTGGGAAACTGGTACAGAAGATAGGAAGCAAAGAGAAGAGGAGGAAGTAAAGACAAGAACAGAACAGAACAGAACAGAACAACAACAACCAAAGAAACTAGAAAGCATGTTCACACTCACATAAAAATAACAGCACACAATGAAGAGAAAACAAAAAACCCAAATAAATGAACAAAACAATATGAGAGAAAGAAAATAAAGAAAAATAGAAAGGAAAAAAAAATGCCCACTTTAAGGCATGTCTCTGCTGCCACTGGTAGACAATGTGGGCTGAGAGTCAAGATCTATGTCAATCAACCCCAGCAAGCGTGCACCTCCATTTCCCCTGAAGTTCAGTCTAGCCTGTGGCTGCAGGCTGGAACCAGACTGCTGCAGGCTAGAACCCGACTTCCGCAGCCAGCAACAGTCCCCGGGCCCCCTGTGGGTTTGAACTCAGCTGTGAGCCACTAGGTGGAGCCAGCAGCCACTCTCTGTCCCAAATTACTGGCCCCTCTCCAAGATGGCTCCCAGTCAATCATCCTCTCTTGTAGGACGTCAGAATGCGAACAACTCACCAGCCACTGCAGTCCTCTGCTCAGCTCCACTGGTGAGCTTCTCTGTGGCCTCTCTGGTTGCTGGCTGTCACTGTGAGTTGAAGCCACCCTCCCCACACAGTTGGGCTCAAGGAGCAAGTGCTGTCTGCCACCTCCTTCTTCATCATTGAAGTTTCTCCCTTCATGCTCTCTGTGGGCTTCAGTTATCACTTCAGCTCCTTTCTGGATCCCAAGGACGCACTTCCCTCCTTCTCTTGTTCATCTTGCTATAGTCCAGTGTCTGGACACCAATTCTCAGAAAGGCTCTTTCTCTATGCTCCCTGCTCCACCATCTTCCTGGAGGTCAGGACTGGATGTTTGACCCTCCCCTCACACACATTCATGCTAAAAAATCCTTTTTGTTGTTGTTGGGCTTTTTGTTTTGTTTTAGTTTGTTTTGTTTAGATAGGGTCTCACTATGTAGTTCAGGCTGGTCTTGAACTCACTATGTAGTCTAGGCTGACCTCAAACTTGCTGCAGTCCTCCTGCCTCAGCCCCCCAAGCACTCAGATTACAGGTGTGTGCCACCATGTCTGGCTCACATTAAGTCTTAAGTGCTCCATGCTGATATTTGGAGCTGGGGCCTCTGACAATTCTCAGGTTTCAATGAAATCAGTAGGGTGGTTTCCCATGATAAAATTAGCATCCCTGTAAGGAAAGATCAGAGCACTGTCTTTGTGTATGAGGACTCAGCAAGCCAGCAGTAGCTTCCAGGTTCTGTAAATCGGGAAGAGGGCCCTCACCAAGAAACCAGACTCACCGACACCTTCATCTAGGGCTTACCAGGCTTCAGAACTCCAATAAATCCGGTTTGTCGGTGCTTATCCCAGCCCTCTGGGAGGCTGAAGCCCGAGGATCACATGTCCCAGTCCATCGTGGGCAATTTAGCAATTCAGCAAGACCCTATCTTGAAATTAAAGACTGGGCACGTAGCTCAGTGCGAAGGCCCCGGGTTCAGTCTTCTGTGCCCGAATAACTAACTAAATAAACACACTTTTATGCAATATGACTTGGGAACATTGTGACAAAGAAGATGTAAGGTACTGTTGTGTGTTTGGGGATATAATTCCCATAGCAACGCATGATATATCCGGGTAGAATCAAATGAATGAGGGAACAAAATTTTAAAATGTCTGCCAAAAGGCAGGGGCTCAAACAGCCCAGGAAGGTATTTTAGGTGCTCAGACCAAATGCTCTGCTTCCTCAGCCTGTGTGCTAGCACTCACCTCAGTGCCAGGAAGGAGGAAAATGAGGAGGAATTTCCCACGGTGGCTGAGCGAGCCCTTTCTTTGCTTCTTCCAACTGCTCTTCTTGCTCAGCTCCAGATCCGCCCTCTGCACCTGTAGCATCTTCCCTCGCCTTACAGATAGACAGACAGACACAAAGCCATCACCAGGGAGAACCCATGTGACCCATTTCTGCCACCCACCCCCACTTTCAAGAACTGTTTCACCAGACTGAAATTCTACCAATTATTCACACACTTCGGTTAGGGTAGTTTAGGCAAATGTATTTCGTATTCCTTGCAAACCTCAGCTGATGGGTAAAGGTCACCTGGGTCTCCAAAAGCCACATCTGAGCTCGAATGAGGAAGAACAAGGACCCGCTGGTGCTGCGGGCTTGGCTGCAGGAGTCCCAGGGCCGACCCCGGGGCAGAGCTGCCACGCAGGGCCTTCCCCAGGAGTCTCTGTCACCAGTGTAGTGCTGTCACCTTGCATCGCCACTGATGAGCTCCTCTTCCGACACTGTCTCCTCCTGCACACCGGAGGGCTTCCTTTATTCTTCTAACACGGGACTCGCACTTTCCGTTCTCCAGGACGCCTTTCCCGCTTCCCCGAGGCGCTGTTCAGGTCCCTGGACAACGGCTCTCCGAGACGTGGCTCCCGGGCTCAGCGCGCAGTCTCTGCAGTCCTCACAGTGTCTGACTCAGAGCAGAGACCCGAACAGTCGGGAGAAAGTACGTGCTCAGCGGAAACCGCATCTCGGGAGGGAAAAGAGAAAACAGGCAGCATTCAACATCAAACCTGAGAGCGGGGCGTGGTGGCGCAC